TAGCCCTTTGTGTAGCTTTGCGCTTAACTACAAAGAAAAAAACTTCTGTAGCTCCAATGGACCCAATGTCCTTAAACATGGTTCTGAAAAGTGACGCCTTGCTGGTTTGTCAGTTTTTCTTAACGACAGTCAAGTTAATTCAAATAATAGTAATATCAAATAAATAGTTTGTGTTGAACAGGAAATAAATAAATAATATTGTGTTATTAATTCTTAGCGTAATTGTGGTTTTTATTCAATCTACCTCACACCAGTCTAGTTGTTGCTCATGCAACTAGTGCCAAGACCACTACTACGTCTTTCATATACTCATCGGTTTGATGAATCTTTATATTGAACGAAAGGCCTCTTTGGCACTGTATATGACAGATGTAATTTGGAAAACATATTTGTACATTTTTCACTGGTAAGTATTTTGAACATATAAAATTTAGAAAGTTCTATGCATTAAGGTCACGTCCATCACCTTACGCTAAACTTGTTTCCGATTCAATAACAATACAATTTTTAAAAATGTCCGAATCTAAAATAAAGCTATCACAATATAATATTACAGACTAAATAGGATATGTTCAATTTCAAAGTGTGACATTCATAGAGTTTTAGTGATATGAACACGACATGACAAAGTTCATCTTCAAAGTACATGAAGAGAGAAGATAGCCTACATAATAACCTAGGACTAGCCATTCACATACCGTTCACGTGGTCTGACCACATTACCATTTCTATTACGGGCTGGGTGGAATCCACCCAGCTCGTAACCACGAAAGTATCCAGTAGAATAATTATACTATGATGTTTCATAATGCAAGCACATCTTTACAAAATTTTGCAGGTTATTGCTAAACATTAAATGGTTTTCGTACACAAAATATCAGGTTTTTAAATTAGGTATTAAGATATTTCTTTCAGAATGTTGACTATTCAACATCCCAAACAATTTTGATTTTAATATTAAAAATACTTTAATGCATTAGAACATTTACAAATTTCACATAAGAAATCTTTATAATCTCCAAATAATTATAAAATTTTTGTTTAAAAAAACTATATTTTATTTGTTATTTTCAATAGTGTATTTCTGTATGGGTTGGTTCGATATGACCCACTTCGTAACCTCAATAAAAATTAGAAAAAATAAATAAATTATGTTTTTTTCGTTTTAGAATGTTCTAGTAATAATGGGGTGTTGTAACAATGATAGGATGTTTTAGTAATAATGAGGTGTTGTAAAAATGATAGGATGATCTAGTAATAATGAGGTGTTGTAACAATGATAATATGTTCTAGTAATAATGGGCTGTTATAACAAACAATAATGGGTGTTATAACAATGATAGAATGTTCTAATAATAATGAGGTGTTGTAACAATGATAGGGTGTTCTAGTAATAATGAGGTGTTGTAACAATGATAGGATGATCTAGTAATAATCGAGTGTTCTAACAATGATAGGGTGTTCTAGTTGTAATTGGATGTTGTAACAATGATAGGGTGTTCTAGTAATAATGAGGTGTTGTAACAATGATAGGATGTTCTAGTAATAATCGAGTGTTCTAACAATGATAGGGTGTTCTAGTTGTAATTGGGTGTTGTAACAATGATAAGGTGTTCTAGTAATGATGGAGTGTTTTAATAAAGATAGAATATTGTAATAATGATGGATTGTTATAACAAACAATGATGGGGTGTTATAACAATGATAGAATGTTGTAATAAATGTGCACGCTGATTTATATGCATTTAAGGAAACCAGTTGGAGAATCTGAAGGACAAACATTGGCGAAGTTTAATGAAACGAGCAATACACATGTACTGTGTTGTTATTACCATTTCAATGTGTTCTATATACGAGGAAGCAAACATTAAATGTTCCTCAACAAAAGTACCAAATTTCAATTCATTTCGATATTTATTAACATTAAACTGGATTAAATACATGCATTGTATTGAGATTAGAACTGTATCTGCCAGTGCTAAGTATAGTTATAGTGATAAACTGTTTAATTTCAACTGGAATAACTAACTTATTGTATAATATATTATACAATATAACTGGAAAATAAAATACGTAGAACTAGGACATATCTCTCTCACAGCTGCAAAAAAAAAGAGAATACTCAAGTGAATAATGGTAAAAGGTAAATGCATCTTGTTATTGAATAATTTTATTATCTTGGTTACATTATTGAATAGAACATGTTGTATAGACCTAGATCTTGGTTATATTATTGAATATAACACGTTGTATAGACCTAGATCTTGGTTACATTATTGAATATAACCCGTTGTACAGAAACAGATCTTGGTTGCATTATTGAAGTGAACATGTTGTATAGACCTAGATCTTGGTTAGATTATTGAAGTGAACATGTTGTAAAAACCTTGATCTTGGTTATATTATTGAATAGAACATGTTTTATAGACCTAGATCTTGGCTACATTATTGAATATAACACGTTGTACAGACCTAGATCTTGGTTACATTATTGAATATAACCCGTTGTACAGAAACAGATCTTGGTTGCATTATTGAATAGAACATGTTGTATAGACCTAGATCTTGGTTACATTATTGAATAGAACACGTTGTACAGACCTAGATCTTGGTTACATTATTGAATATAACACGTTGTATAGACCTAGATCTTGGTTACATTATTGAATATAACACGTTGTACAGAAACAGATCTTGGTTACATTATTGAATATAACACGTTGTACAGACCTAGATCTTGGTTACATTATTGAATAGAACACGTTGTACAGAAACAGATCTTGATTGCATTATCAAAGAGAACACATTTTACAGATGTAGATCTTGATTATATTATTGAATAGAACACGTTGTACAGAAACAGATCTTGGTTACATTACGAAAGAGAACACATTTTACAGATGTAGATCTTGGTTATATTATTGAATAGAACACGTTACTCTGAGCCAGATCTAGGTGACAGTGCCAGAAAACATGTGACACAGAACTAATCAAATGCCAGTTGTAGTTTGTTTGTTTGTGGATTCTACCGTTTACTATTTCCTGATGAAATAGCAGAATTGGATTCAGTAAATGAGTTCAGTGACTTCCATGCCTATAAGTGCATATTTTCGCTCTATTAAAAAAAAAAGAGAGGCAAGAACCAAGTATTCCGAAATGTTTTTTGAGCGTATAATTGAATTTTTGTTTTTTCTTTTTCAATTCACTGAAATAATAATAATTTGGTTTATTCGTATTTTTCCTCGACCTTCTGTAATTTTTTTAAGGTATAGGCTTTGTACCAAAACTGGTACTTGTTTTTTTTTTATATGACAAATTTGATTCGATAATTTTAGTTGGATTAATTGAAACACTTCGTTAATATTTACAGTTTTAAACCCGATTACTGGCGAATCACTGGACACCAATAGGCCTAATGCAGAATTTGTATTCATGTTGGGCTTGATAATTTCATTACGGATTCTAGCTGGGACTCCCGGGTAATTATTTCCAGCAAACAAAAAATAGATCTGAAGTTCAATTTATACACGCCTCTGATTTTAAATCAATAATGGAAAAATTAAAAGGAGCAATTAAAAAAAAAGAAAAAGAAACACTCAGTCTATCATTGTTTTCACCACGAACATTAAACATGGTAATATCTCAAACACTAGCATACCCGGATCTGGTAATAATACTTTTGTACAGACATTGTTCATTTTAGACAATACTTTGCATATTAATTACAAGAGTTTATATTTTATACCACAAAAAATTATATCATTCGCACAAACCTACAACCTTGTTTATATTGTTACATATAACATTAAAGTAAAACTTATTGCCCGCTAGAATGAACTATTTTACAACACAAACTAATACAGAACTGTAACAGTTTGATTAAAATTATTTCTTCTTTTCGCCGTTTTGTTACCATCTTTTAACAAAAACTGAAGTAGTGTAATAAATATGATATTAACATAAAACCATACAGACAGATATGTGAATATACAATTACATTTTACAGGAACGATTACTTGGCAGTTTTCAGACAAGCTAGGAAAATTTTAATTAAATAAAACACTAACTGTTTTTTTTTGTTGTTTTTTTACATCAAAGATATCCAACAGACTAAATTGCCCACACTTTAGCACCTTAAAACGCGAGCTCTACCGAAGTTTCTGTTCATTCATATCACTTGGCGTTGGAGATAGTTTATTAATGACATTGTAAGGTTTATTCTATGAAAAACTGGTTTTCAGGTGTTTGACCTAAGCAAACTTACTTTTCTCCACTAGGTGACTTTGCTTGATATAGTGGTCGTAAAGTTTTTAGAACCGTAGAGGGGATAACAAGTGGAGCAAGGAGATAACGAGAACTTTGTGGGTAAAGGTAGATATTCCTAAATATATATATATATTTCACATGTGAGTTTATATCTCTAAAACTGTATAAAAATGCATAAATAGAATATGTATTGTTGTTTTTTATTAGCGCAAAACCACACAATAAGATACCGGCGCTTGACCACGGCGGGGAATTGACTCCCGAAATTTTAATATTGTAAGTCTGGAAATTTTCCGATAGGCAGACCACATTTGGTCTTTATGGTCCACGAAAATTATTAGAAATGAGTATACATTTTTAAAAACAAATGATTTTGCTAATACTCATGAAATTCAATTTAAACGAGGCTCTAGTTGTAATGTCCAAACATGATTAGTAGGCTTAAAGAAATTTATTCTAGGCCTATTTTTTAAAACCTCATTCTAAGCCTTATTTTTCAAAGCCTCGTTCTAAGCCTATTTTCTAGAATATTATTCTCCGTTTCTTTTCAAACCACATTTTATAATTTCGGTTTTGAAGATAAGCACTTGTGAATCAGTTCTCATTCCAGTAATTAAATTTCTAAGCTATACTATATATATTCTTTTTTCTATAATACAAAATATTGATCCGAGCAAAAATGTTAACTGTTTACTATTGAAAATATATAACCATGTTAGATAATTTTTTACACAGTTGCACTTTTATTACAATCTCTGAAAGTAATGTTACATTAGACGTTTTGCTCTCTGCACTTCGCAAGACACGGTAGCCGTTCCTGAGGTTGTTATAAATAAAATCAATCTTCGAGAACATTCAACATTAATTAATAAAAGCAGTTAGTCATGACCGTAACAGATAAGTTTGTTGACATTTTAAACAAAAAATATAAAAGCTAAATATAGATCCACGTTTTGTAATAATTATTTAACAACACCAACAAAGGGAGAAAAAAAACCCATTAAATACAGTAATTTCTTGTTTTAAATAGACTGAAGCAGTAATTACAAGACGTATTATGTTATAAGTTTATTGTTTACACATCACACTTCAGACTTTAGCCTGCCCTTGACTGTCTTTAGGCAGCCAAATTCTCTAGCGCCATCTGAGAAAAAGTGGCCTGCAATTCCAGTTATAAAGCTAACCATACACAGAGATCTGAGGGTAAATAAATGGGGGGAAAAAAAGGAAAAATTTCTATCGATAAGGTTTTCCAAAGTTTACTTGGCTTTAAAACAAGATTAACTTTAACTATTCATTTATCACTCTCAACAAACAAGCATTCTGTTTTATTACTTTCTCGAATATTCTTTTCGTGAAAACCCCAGCAAGCGTGAATCCAGGTAGAAGTCTAACAGAACGTTAACATACAACAGAACGAAATACATGAAAAGATAACCACTTGTAACATGTCTCTAATAGAGTGACCGTGTCACAACAAACGAGACGTCACTAGTCACAGTATCTAGCGATGGTCAGCCAAAAGGGCAGGAACATTGTATGGAAATTTGTTTTCCCGCACATCATCTCAGTAATAGGTAACGCCAAGATCGACTACATATTTCGGAAATGTTAGGCTTATTTCCTCTTGAATGGATATCCACCATGAATAGGGTCTTCTTGCCAGAAACGCAGGTCTATAGAAGGGATATCTCTACAAGGTAATCGCGGATTACTGTGGATAAATAAGATACATTTCTGATTATCAAACCTCCCTATAACATTGTATAAAATTTTAGACTAAAAGTGTTGCTATTTTTTTTCTATTCTTTTATTATTTGCATAGGGGGCGTAAAAAAAAGGGGAATTATGGATAAGTTCTGATCAAGGAAAGTTACATACATAAAATTTAGCTAGTAAATAATGAAGCTAATATATAATTCAAAATAGGAGTATACATAATAAAACAAAAATTGTCTAATAATTAGAATACATCGTTGGGGCTCTTTACGATTGATTGTAAACGTTTGCTACAATGTAAAAAGAACTGCTGAGTCATAAATTAGAACTCCATCTAACAAATATGATATTCCAAATAAATAATAAATCAAACATGAAAATTCCATCTAATAATGTGATATTCTAAAGGAAATAAAACATGTTAAAATTCCATCCAACAATGTGATATTCTAAAGGAAATACTGAGTCATGCATTAAAATTCCATCAAACAATGTAACATTCTGAAGAGAATACTGAGTAAAACAATAAAATTCCATCTAACAATGTAATATTCTGAAGGGAATTCTGAGTCAAATAATAAAATTCCATCTAACAATGTAATATTGTAAAAGAAATACGGAGTCAAAAATTAAAATTCTATCTGATGATATGTTTTATAGTAGCATGATTGTAAATTACTTTTTTTTTGTAAGATTGAAAAATAAATAATTTTCATGATATATTTCAAATAAAATATATGTTTCAAATAATAAGTCGACGTTAGTAACCACATAGGAGTAGCTGTTTTACTGGTTGAACGTTGTATAATATTTGAGAGAAAAATTCATTTGCATAGTAAAATGGCATTACATTCTTAAAATATGTTTTACCACATAAAATGAAAGATACATGTAAGAACTTATGTAAAGTTGTGCGTGTAAGTTTGATATTATTTTATGGTTTTGTTGATTTGACAGACATTCGTTACATAGAAAATCTGATTTTAATCTTTAATGTTTTTTTATAAAATAATTATGTACAAGTTAAATTTCTGCTTTAAACCTCATCTTTATTATTTTGTCCTGGAAATCCAGTTTGTTATGATTCACATTTTTAGAAGTTATTTTTCGTCAAAAGTCAGAATTTCTTATTTCTAATATTACTCACTAGATGGGGTGAGGGAGCCGCATAGCATAAAGCTGAATAGTAGGCATGTCATCAGCATTTTCGCAGATGAGTTTCGACTGGTAGGATTTCTTAATCTCACGAACTTGATCTGCATTTTAGAAAATGGGAAAAAATAACCAAATAATATAATATTTGTGGCTGGAAGAGTATTAGAAAAAGAAAATTAACCAACAGCTATTATGCTCAATTAAAACTGCAATATATTTAAAGAAAACAAAAAGACTGAAAACTAACCGACTTTAACGACGTTTTGAAAAAATGTTTAGCTGAAAACTTTTCGAAATGCGTTTGCCAATATGGCTTTATCTGGTTACTCATTCAGATTCGCTAAACTTTAATTACTAAACATTGCAGCCACTGATTCTCTTTAGGCAAACTGTAACCATAGCAAAAGGAACTACTTTCTCATACCCAAGAATCATGCATAGTAACGAGAAGTCAATTCATCGCATAGATTAATTTTTAAACCTTACAAGTGATTATTTTTATGGATAAAGGGATTACTATTACTAATGTTGAAGAGAAAAAAATACGAGCAATTGAAGTAAACCTTGACCTAAGTTTAACCAGCTGGATTCAGCTAACCAACCCAGAGAGAGAAATGTAAAAAATCAGCAAACTAAAATATTTCAAAAAAAAAGGAACTTGTAAACTAAGTTTTAATCCGAAACTGCTGATATTCATATGTTTTTTTTAATGCCCTATTTACAACGCCATCACTAAAGACTTATTTGTTTTGAAGTTCGCGCAAAGCTACACGAGGGCTATCTGCGCTAGTCGTCCCTAATTTAGCAGTGAAAGAGTAGAGGAAAGGC